ATAGTATTGAAATAAAAGATATAACTTATTATTACAAATGTTACACTATCATATGTTCAGGTGGTATCGTCTTCTATTTTATTTTATTTTAATTTTATTTATTTTTTTTTTTTTTGTTTATGTGTAAAATATTTTTTGTAATCAAGGATTTTTCAGATTTCAGTTACTTTTTTTTTTGTACTCTTTTCATCATTTTGTTTTTTTTTTTCATCTCATTATTTTACTAAATTTCGTTCAATTATTAAATATTTAGAAAATCTGTTGAGCTTTTCAAAAATCATTAAAATCTTAATAGCAATTTTTAATATGTTCAAACTAAATTTAATTTTAGCTAAACACATGGTATCATTGAAATTGTTAGTTTTAAAAGCATGAATAATTCTACAGCTATTTTGTTTCAATTGTAAGTTATGTCTTCAATTACATTTCTTATTATGAGTAAATTTAAATTAATTACTGTGCTATTTCAAATTCATTACGATAAGCTGAGAGTTAATTAACATCATTTTATTAGAGAAAATAAGAGGTGACAAAGGCAAATCTTTTAAATTACTCACATTGAAACCATTATTAATTGAAAGTTTTATTAATTTTGCCGATGAATTTTTGCGCAAAACTTAATTCAAAAGCGAATTTTAATATTTAAACTATAAAATGACCACATAATATATGACCAGCTCTGGGACAATGCATATAGCATAATCAATTAAGTTCAAAAAATTGCTATTTTTAGTAGTTTTGGCACTTAATTAAAATTAAAATTGATAATCTAGAACCAATTTTCTTGTCTAATATGCAAAAACCATTGCAAATTTTGAAATTTTTAAAAAATTCAAAATTTAAATTTGAAATAAAATTTAATTTTTATTCCTTAAAATGAATTAAAACCCTGATTAATTGAAAGTTTTATTAATTTCGCTGATGAAGTTTAGCGCAAAACTTAATTACAAAAGCCTATTTTAATATTTAAACTATAAAATGTTTGGTTACAAACAAATTTAAATAAATCGCTGACTTGTGCTAATAATTCTAATTATGCTAGGTCTCATTAATAATATTACTTTTTATAACAACACTATTATTGTTATTATTATATTTATATTATTATTATTGTATTTATCCTGGTACTATAATTCCTTTTTAAATTATCAAAATTACTGAAAAGTTGAAAAAAATTTGCTATTACTATTCATTTTTTGAATTATTTCTAAAATTTTACATATTATACTACTTCACTAATGATGTTACCCAACACATTAAACTGATTATAATATTAATTGATGAAATTAAATTTTAAGATTGTTTGTCATTTTTAATGACAATATTAGGAAAAGAATATAAAATTTTTGAATAATAGTAATATTTACAATGTACAATAAAAAATGCATGGAAATGAATAGCATTAATAAATGTTAGAAATACAAGAACCAAGATAAAAAATTTTCTCAGAACATATATTAAGCATTTGAGAAAGACAAAATTATCCGCGTCTAATAGAAATGGAAGAAAAGCAATATTATGCATGTTGAATTTAAGTCAATTAACTAATTAATTAAAATTAATTAAAAAGTAATACTATGTAAAAATTCTTTTATTAGCTTTTTTATAAATGTATGCTTTTATATTACAAATAGCACTTTCCCCGTTCAAATATTCAACTTCGAATGTTTACATCTCGCTTTCAATCAAAAATTTTGTGCCATTTCTATGTAATCAAAAATCATAGTGTTAAAGTGAAAATATAAACTGATTGGTGTATTCTGATAATAACACCGAATACGTTGTTTCGTTTTTGATTTGTACAGGTGCACACCTTTTCGAGTATTTCCTGAATTACATCTGAGTTGTGAATCTCCCAGATATTGTCACGTTGTACCAAGAAAGTGAGTAATTAATTGAAGTTCTTCCTCTCGGAACGAATGATATGGGTTTTTGTACGTTGCATTTTTACTGAACTACTACGGTCACGGATGTTTCGTAATACACTTTTACGTGTGTTCCATTTCAGATTAATAAGCATTTATATTATTTGGCAGATAAATAATGCAATTTGAAAGTTGTTAGTATCATGGAACTTGGGGTTGACGATACTTATAGTCGAATTGGATTTTAGTATGCTCAAGTACTTACTTTGTTTGTTATTATAGTTATTATAGAGGATTTATTGTAATGATTTTATTGCTGGCAATCACAATATATATGTACTTATCTATAGCAACAATACAGTGATAATTTCGTAAAGTACAAATAAGATGAATAACTTGATGTGACACTTTAAATTAAAATGTGTTGTGAATTCTGAGAATTCATGTAGATTTGTGGGGAGGGGTTAGGATGGTGGAAACCTTTATTGGTAACTAAAATATAATATAGTAGTAATAATGAATACAGAAATTAAGTATAAGTAGAAGAATAGAGAAGGATAATTTGTGTAGAGTGGAGCTTTGCAGTATGTAAAAGTTATATAAAGAGGAGAAGAGAGAGGAGATGTATGGAAGGAAGTCATTCGTCTTATTTTTCTTATCTTTCTTCGTTCTTATCTCTTCAATTATTCCCTCCGATTACGACTGTCTAATCAATATGTTTTTAGGTAATTTATAATCATCCGTTATAAGTTGATCCTGTATTGTTGGTCAGGATTGTAACCATTGAATTTCTCCCTTATTGTTTTTTTTTTTTTATGAATTTAAGAATCCATGCTGATATTCTTACTAATCTTGACCACTTACTAAAACGACTAGCGCCTACAACTTTGAAATTTCCTTTCATAACAGTTCCCTTAGTAACTATTGCGACAAAAATTCCGCTTTTTTCTTCATGTCCAAAATTTCCATCGAAGTTATATTCCAACTATGACCAGTTATTCTCCTATTTTCTCAGCCATGATGGTTCTTTCCACCATATTTCTTAATTCAGTTTGGTTGGCGAGTTCTGGATCCAATGTTATACATCTTTAGATTCCGATCATAACCATAATGAAACAATGGTGCATTTTCGAGTTCAAACTGATTTAATACAAATTGGATAGCTCATATTAATTCCAGTTGGTGTATAATGACACCTTTAACTGATACGATTTGAGATTTAGCAAATACCAAGAATGTTTTAATTCCTTGAGTGTTTATATATTACTGCCATGCTTGATGCATCTGTGAAGACATGAAGTTGTGTTTACTCTGAAAAGGGTGTGTCACAAATCTTGGTAGCTCCTTTATATCTACTGAATCATTCTCTTATTAAAGATTCTCATATTTCCTTATCGTTTTTGTTTATAGGCTGATGCCAGGCATTGTTTTTTCTCCATAAAATCTGAAGAATTTGAATTGTATCATAGATGGAATAAGGGATCCTATTGGATCACATTGAGATGCTACGATTTATAAAACTATCCTTTTTATTAGGTTTTTATTGTTCCAAGGTTTTAGGGTGATTTAAAAGGATATCCTTTTGGGGATTCGATCGTGCTCAGTAATGATTTTATTGAATTCACTGAATTAAAAGATTTTATTGAATTAAAAGAAATTCTTGAGTGTTCATTGAGACCTCTCTGAAGATACATTTGGTTTCATCGCAAGGTTTGAGTAATTCTTGAGTTCCTTTAGCTGGTAATATATAAAATATTCACATTCATATATAGTATTGACATACAGCTCCATTAATACAGCAACGTTCAGATTTCTTCATATACTTTTCCATCCCACATAACTGAAATAAACGGAATTTTAACAATCGAAATTTTATTTAAATTGACTGGAAGCATTACACTGATAGTGATACATTGAACAAAAGTCGAATAATACTTTTCAGGAAAACAAAAGTTTATCAAAAATTACTTAAAACTTTAGCAAAGATTCAATACACAAATTTTACAATTAAATTGTAGCACCAGAAATGCCATGAAGCCTCTCATTCTTGCGCACCTTATTGTATTTCTTCTGAAGTATTCGCGAATTGTTGATTGCTTTCTGTTACGACTAGAATGAACACTTTAGATGTCACCTTCCTAAAAAAGACCAAAAGAAATGAAAAGTTTGCTGATTTGGCTTAATAGAGAAAATAACTGCTTCTTTTCATTGCTTTTTCTGCATCGCACCATTTACTGAATTTTGTATTACTGTACAACGGTCACGGATATTTCTTAACATATTTCCATGTGCATTAATTTCAAATTCACAAACATATTTAAATTATCAATAGACTATCGAAATTAACGATGAGCTCCGATGCAACCTTTCAAGCATTCAATTCATACTCAACATTGAAAAATTTTCTTCAGCGTTTGCACTGAGGTTGAGGTCGATGTGTTTTCTGACATGGATGTTTGCAAAACATTTTTTTGCACATTTCATTTCTGGTTGACAAAAGGATTTAAAATGTTGCCAAATTTACGTAACAAGACCTGCGGTTCAGCGCCTCTTGCGAATGTTGAAAGAATTTTGCCATCATTTTTGTACTGAATTTAAACCTGTGGGTTCCCAAATGCCTACATAGTGATAACTTATGCCGGATAATTTACATTCATTAAAAAAAAGGGTTTTTGAAATGTGTATTGTTATATGTTCTTTTTATGCGTTATGTATTCGTCGTAATTCATCGCTTTGACAGCACCCCAACATAACTCGCAATTTTCCTTATCTGAAAAGTTCCCTACGTAGTAAATCTGTCGTTATTCAAATAGCAACAATTTGCAAAACAAATAATTTAAAATTTTTTGAAGCAAAGTCAATATTTGAATCACAGCTCTTGTCTCCACTTCGAATGGATTAATTTTCGAATATTAAATTAATATTCGAATGGAAGTTTTGATTTTAGATTCATTAGCTATTAGTTTAGCAGGAAAATAGAATGAAAGGGAAAAAGTATGAGTAATGATGTGAATGAAACATTAAAAACCACTTGGACCTTTGGTCGTTTAATTCCAACCAATCTGAGATAAAAACTTTTATTCGAATATTTCTGTCATTTCAACAATTCAGTATTTCATCTTGCTCTTCATTTCAATGACACAAATCATTTGGTTCAGCTTTCTGCTTTGCATCGCTTCGGCTGAGAATGGAAGTATCTCTCTACTAAACCTCGATATCGATGATAATATATGGGATGACTGTAGCAATGGGTACTTCTCAAATAGTTTCAATATCCTTGATAACAGCAATTTGGAATCGATTCTGGGTTCAGATATGGATGCTCATAACAGCGAACTAGGAAATTCTGCTGAGAATTTGCAGGATAGCATTTCATCTGATTTTTCGCACCTCGATTTTACTGATTTGGAGAAAACTAAACATAGAAGCAATGAGGATTCCAAAATCGAAACCGTTCCAATCACAACAGGAAATTATCAGTTGCGAGAATTACCGAGAACAGATGGCAAGAATATGAACAGTAGCAATTCGACAAACACTGAGAAACCCGAAATAAAAACTGATCTCGTTACTGCAAAAAACTTGGACTTATTTGTTCTGCAAAATCCTACCATTACAGGTAACATTAATTTAATATACGCTCACAATTTAATTTCATAATCAGTTCTCAAATTACATTAAATAATTCCAAACGAAGTAATGAAATGCGTTAATTGCAAAATACACATGTTGTGGCGCTTTTCAGATGAAGAAAATTACAAGTGTCCCCATATCGGATGTAGTATGAAAACGAAAAGTCGTAAGAAATACATAGCTCACAGGAAAACACACCCCGAACCTTTTATTTATGAATGCAAAGTGTCCGGTTGTGGGCTAACATTCAATAATCCATCATCATTCTACAGTCATCAGCAAACACACGCACCTAGGATTGAGTGCGAAAACTGTGGCAAAATTTTCAGCTGTAAGAATAATCTGAGCACTCACAGGAAGTACTGCACGAAAACCATACGTTAGTTTTTCATATTTAACAAGATTTAAACACGTTTAGCTATCAGAAATGAAATGCACGTACTGAGAAACATCCGTTATGTAGGAAAAAAACAGAAAAGAATCAAGAAGTTCCTGATTTTATCGTCACAGAAAATTTTCAATTAATTATTTCTTTAAACGCATAAAAAAAAAAAAAAAAAAAAAAACTATAACCTAAGTCATTTGAAGTAAATTATCACAGACATTTTTATGATCAGTTTCCAAACTGTGTAAATTAATTAACAACTGGTATGATAGAATTGTAAAAACAAATGTTATACGAGAATTTTTCAGATGAGGAAAATTACGAGTGTCCCCATGTCGGATGTAGTATGAAAACGAAGAGTCGCAAAGAATACATAGCTCACATTAAAACGCATCCCAAACCTTTTATTTATGAATGCAAAGTATCTGGTTGTGTGTTAACATTTAATCACCAATCATCGTTGTTCAGTCATCGGCAAACACACAAACCTAAGCCTGAATGCGAAAACTGTGGCAGAATTTTCAGCTGTAAGAATAATCTGAACTGTCACAGGAAACATTGTACGAAAACTCCATGTTAGTTCAGCAAATTTAGCAAAATTTTAAACAAAGAAATAGATTATTCTCGTTTATGTTCAACATAAAAAATGATAAGCAGTACTTGTTCTAAGAATCCAATAAATTTAGAAGTTACTTTCCTAAGAGGTTTTCTGGTTTTACGTGAAATTGTGGACATAAACAGTAAAGAATGGAGAACTTGATCTGATCTTATCGTAGCGGAAAATTTACAATTACATTTTTTGTTTAAATACATGAAGAAACAAGTAAAGATTGTAACCTAAGTTATTTGAAGTATATTATGACAGACATTTTTATGATTAGTTCCAAACTGCGTAAATTAATTAATAATTAGTATGATAAAACTATAAAAACAATGTTATAAGGTAAATTCAGATGAGGAAGATTACGGATGCCCTTATGTCGGATGTACAATGAAAACAAAGAATCGCAAGGAATACATAACTCACAAGAAAACGCATCCCAAACCTTTTATTTATGAATGTAAAGTGTTCGGTTGCGGACAAACATTCGATAATGCAGCATCATTGTGCACACACATGCAAACACACCGACCTAAACTTCAGTGCAGAGACTGTGGCAAATTCTTTGGTTATAATAATTTGAACACTCACAGGAAGAGTTGCGCGAAAGTTCCACGTTAGTTTCACAAATTTAGCAAAATTTTAAACACTTTTGTTTACCTGAAGTGGAATACACAGCTAAGAAATACAAAAATAAACAGATATTTCGATATTTATTCAATATCAGCAGAAAAAACCTAGTTGGTTTAACATAAGAAACGGCAACCAGTTAGTAACAACTACTGCTGTATGAATGACCCCATAGATTTACTACAAATTGGTATGACAAAATCGAAAAAATAAACATAAGGGAGCTTTTCAGATAAGGAAAATTACGAGTGTCCTTATGTTGGGTGTACTGTGAAAATGAAGAATTACAGTGAATATATGGCTCACAGGAAAACGCATCCTGAACCTTTCATTTATGAATGTAAAGTATCTGGCTGTAAGAGAACATTCAACCACAAATCATCATTCTCTTTCCATCAGAGAACCCACAAGCCTAAACTTCAATGCGAAAATTGTGGCAAATTTTTCGGCTCTGAGATTTATTTCAACACTCACAAGAAACGCTGCATTGCAGATTCTGTTAGTTCTGTAAATTTAGCAAAATCCTACTAAGCACTTTGTCGTGAAACATTCGTGTCCGTGGTATAATAAAATAAAATTCTTTTGCACGATGCACAAAGACATATTAAAATGCATTTCATTGGTTGTTCCTACAAGAAACTGTTCAGTTCTTTGAAAATATTCATTGTAGAAGTGAAAGAAGAGATACACAATTCTGGCATACATTAGGAGTGACATAGAAAGGTACTGTCATCAACATGCTGCGGACAATTTTTTGATGACATTGTGATATTTATCTTTACTTTTTTTTAAACCTATATTTCATTGGAAACAGCATGTTTTAACAGAGATACGTAAAGATTCAAGGTTGAATATTCGAAAATATAGGAACAATTTGAGCGTTGCTTTTTTTAACCAAAAAATATTTTTTTAAAGCTGGGGTCATTTTCATTGAACAAAGATTATTTAAATTTGAAAGAGAAACGAAACTGATTAGAAATCCACCCTATGTTTTCTTCATACTCCGCAAATTTATTCAGATAGTAATCCGTAAATGCTGAAAATTTAAATTTCTAATTCAGTTCATTTGCAACTTTGAGACCTATCAAACCTTTGATTTCAGCGATTACATTTAAATCTATAATTTTCTTTCATTAAACTATGAATACTAAAATGTCTCGCAGAGATAAAATACAATGTCATTAGCAGAAACAGAAAAAGTTTCAAGTAATTTTCTTATCGACACTTCTTATTTGCTTGTAATTTGCAAAGTTTCATTTTTTTGAGGCTTTGTAAGATTTTTAAATTTCATCGGCAACTATTGTTATGTATTTGAGTGATCTCTTTGTTTCAGTCGTATGCGTTCGATTAATTTTACTATTTTGGCCTTTAATATTTTGCTCAGAAAAGCTAATTATACGTCCATTTACAGGAACATATAATGTTTGTTCCCTTAAATTCGATGTTTGTTGTTGAAAGAATTTAAATTTTTTATCATCGACATTTTCAAAGCCAAATTATTTTCATTTCAATGCAATCGATTCTATTTTAATTTCTTAATCATCTAACGAATTGATAAAAAGATACAACAAAGGAAATATTTGCTGCATGATTAATTAACTCTTTGATTAAATGATATTGTGAGATGCATTTTCACCCAAAAGATGCCGCTGTTACTCAAAATAGAATATCCGTGGAGTTGCAATATCTGGTGGTATCAGAGCTTGTATCACCGATACAATCATAATAGCACTGACATACAACTCTATTGATACATAGCAACGTCCGGATTGTTTCATATATTTTTGAGAGTTCCACAAAACTGAAATAAACGGAATTTTAGCAATCGAAAAAAATTTAACAATCAAAACAATCGAAATTTTTATTTAAATTGACTGGAAGCATTACACTGATAGTGATACATTGAACAAAAGTCGAATAATACTTTTCAGGAAAACAAAAGTTTATCAAAAATTACTTAGAACTTTAGCAAAGATTCAATATAAGGCTCAATTAAATTGGAATTCGATTGGAATGTACATGACTCTTCGTGTTAATAACTTCTACAAAACTTCCTTTCTGGCATTAATTTGCATTTTTATTTAGAATATATATCAATCAAAAAAGTCCTTTTAAAATAGCATTTGTGATCAGGAAAAAGTCATATCCTGACAGTTTTCAAAAATACCCCTCATTACATAATTATGAAGTTTAGAAAAGTTGTGCTGAAGTCTTCAGAGAAGCAATTTCGATTCGAAATACTGTTTTCTGCTAGAAAAAAAGTATATATAGTTAGTCTTACAGCTTTTAGCTTTATTATTTACTCACCGAAAACTGATATTTTTAACTTAAGTGACTGTTATTTAATTAGTAAGTACTTTGTGGAGCGCCTATTTAACATTTCAGATATTTAGAACATCTGATTATATTGTGTTATGTTTATGCTTAATATTGCTATTTTTCTGATTGTTTTCCACTCAATTTGCTTTTATATTTTGTGCATTTTGATTTTATCTGTTTACAAAGTTGTGTAAATATCTAACAATTTATTCCAGCAAATTGTTAATTTCGTCCTAGTACCGTATCCAGTAAATTTCTAATTTCTGTGTTTGGCTCAGCTGTTACAATCTAGTATTTGTTTTTATTTTATTTTGTTGCTTTTTGGTTCTGTTTGCAAGCTGTGCAAACATTTTCCATCTATAAATATTTTTATCAAAGTCAAGCTTCCGATATCTTTTACAGTAATTTGTTTACCTAACATCAATGTAACTCTCAGTGTCACGTATATTTGAATTAATTTATTACGATTTCAACTTCCATGTTTATATTTCAGCCAATAACATATAAAAGTGAGCGAAATTAGCCATTTGATATAATGATATCAACGTGTTGAAAATTTTCATCATCGTCTTTCTCAGTGAATTTTTTCTTTAGTTTTCCGTGTGTACCGATAATCATCAGTAGTAATTCATCCAATACAATAATCCCTTACTGTTTAATTTCAATGAAAATAATTTTATTTTAATTTTCATTAATTATTGATGTAAATATTCACTAAATTTCGATTAATTATTCCTTCTTAATACATATATTTACTTCATATTTACGAATTATGCTACTAATATAAATAAATATCAATTATTCATAGCAATAAATATTGAAATACAGAAGTGGACAACAGCTTTTGCAAAGTGATATGAATCGGACTACGCTAATATTATTTTTCATTATACTCAGTAATATAATTACTGTTACACACGGTAAGTTATTCAATAGAATGATACGTTAGTAACGTGAACAGAGAAGGAGAAATATCATTTCTAATGACACAATGAAGTCGATTTATCTCAGATTAATATTATGATAGGTATAGAAAATTAAAAAAACTCTTTAGTCACACCGCATTCTAATCAATATAATAATAATAATAACTTCTTTATATGTTATTCAATCCAAAACTGTATACACTGTCATACATTTGGCAAATGAAAAGGCTAAATTGAAGATCATAAATATTCACGAAGAACTTAAGAAATTCAAACATAAAATAAAATATTACATTTTATTGAAAAAATACAAAGTGCTTAATAAATAGAACAAAATTAGCAATGGCATAGTTTTGAATATACTTCTAAGTTGTAGCTTATTGCAGGTTATGTTCGTGGATGTTACTACACTAACTGGGCTCAGTATCGAGATGGTTCAGTGATGCTTTAAATAATTTCATTTTTATTAGAGAAATTAAATAATTTCAAGAAAAAGAGTTTCTAAACAAATGCGCAGTTTTTCAAATAAAAATTCGAAACCATTGATTGTAATGGCTATGATAAAATGAGAAGAAACAATTTATAATTAGTAATTCAACTTCCAACATAAGCGCAAATTCTTTTCATTACGGATTTTTAAATTCATTTCTATATGTGCCTTCATCAATGCAAACTAATATACAAATAGAAACTACATAAATCAAATTAAGCAAAATAAATCTTATTATCACAATATTAATTATAATATCTATCTGTCAATCTAACATGCATTTTCATTTTAAAGGAGAAGGTAAATTCTTGCCTGAAAATATTCCAAATGGACTATGCACCCACATTCTTTACGCATTTGCTAAAGTCGATGAATTAGGTGATTCAAAGTAAGTTGCAAATGATATTTGTGATAGTAAATATGAATGCCATTTTCATATTTTGCTCAAACTGAAACTAAAATTTTTTCAAAAAGTGTTACGGCAGCAATTTTTGACTTACAGTGATAAAATGATACATTGCACCAGAGCTGGTCATATGTGGTATAATCATTTGATAGTTTAAATAATAAAAAAATTTTTAATAATTAATTTCTGAACAATATTTCAGTAGCGAAATTAATAAAATTTTCCGTTAGTCATAGTTTTAATTCATTTTTATGATTAAAATCTAATTTTATTTCAAAATTAAATGGAAAAAACGTCTGTTATAAACAAGATTCTTCTGGAATTATTCAAATAATACCATAATTAGGACTATGTGTGTGCTTCAGTAATGTGAGCTACTGCTCAATATCCTTTTGCAATGAAATATAAGTGCGCAATTGTCACCAACAAAGACTATTTATTTCTGTAAATTCCCTTTTTTCTTTTCTTGCTCTCTTTCTCTCTCTCTCTCTCTCTCTTAGACCTTTTGAATGGAACGATGAAGATACTGAATGGTCGAAAGGAATGTACTCAGCTGTGACGAAACTGAGAGAAACCAACCCAGGACTGAAAGTCCTTCTTTCCTATGGTGGCTACAACTTCGGATCAGCAATTTTCACTGTTAGTTTCTGTTTTCTTCAAAAGGATAGCATTCGTCAAACATATCGACAAAATTTCAGAAATAGTTTGTTGACATCTGCTCTCGTTGGCGCTCTCGGGACGTCCTATTGTTTTCTTTTCCATAAATTTAGTGATAGACAGACAATATATTAAGGGAATAGCAAAGTCGGCGCAAAAAACGGAACGTTTTATTAAATCAGCTATAGCATTTCTCCGTAAGAATAATTTTGATGGATTCGATTTGGATTGGGAATATCCAGTCGGTGTAGCTGAGGAACACGCTAAACTTGTTGAGGTAAGCGCAATCTCTTAGCAATTTATCATAGTAATCAGACATTGATATCAAATTTCAGTTCACAAAGGGAAAATTTCATTTCCATTCGTTGTTGTGTGTTGATTTTACTGGAAAAAAAGAAGAAAATAAAATTTGTAGGCAATGAAAACAGCATTTGTGGAAGAAGCCAAAACATCTGGTAAGCAACGATTACTTTTAACCGCTGCTGTATCAGCCGGGAAAGGAACTATTGACGGAAGTTACAATGTGGAGTCTCTCGGAAAGTAAACTTTTCTTTCTCTCTTTGCTGATCTTTCACGTCAGACTTTCATTTATTTAGCGATATAATAAAAATTAGAGTACTAAAAATGTGAATATTTCTTCAGCATTAAACTTTGCAGAAATTTCGATCTCCTATTTCTAATGTCATACGATTTACACGGTAGTTGGGAGAAGAACGTCGATTTACACGGAAAA